AGCATAGAACTTTAAAACTAAAAAATGGAAAAAAAGATCACCTTTTGACATTATAATTGTATATTATATATATTAAAAGTTTAACATTTTAATATTTTTGAACAAGAATGATGGATATTTATTTCCCCTTGTCTTTTCCATTCCTCTTTTCCCCATACCTTGCTCAAACCAAGTAATAAGGAATATTAGTCAATTTTATCTATCAACTTGGCACTCTTTGGAATATATAAGACACGATTAAGTATTTCAAAACACTGGATCTAAAAATAAAATTTTTTCTAAAATAATACAATTGAATTTTAATAAAGGAATATAATTATTTAATAATGATAGCTCTAGTATAATAATTAAACGCTTCTCCTAGTATCAGTCATCCACGATTCACCATAATTTACAACAAAATACATTCACATTTCAAAAACCTATACCATTCTCATATTGAAGGGATGAATATTTAAAAATGCTAAAAAGTCACTTACAGCTCTCTCATTTCTAAATCAATAACAGCATTTTCAAACTCAAGAATTTCCTCTACCTCTCCCAAGTGTCCACACACAATTAAGCAAAACAAGAGATGCTCAATTGTGCACTAAACCATCCCATGATATATTACAGAAGACTACCCAGAAATATATATACATTCCTATTGATACCTCTCTTAAAAGCACCTTCAAACAAACTGTGACCAAGACTGAGGTAACTAAGTTTAAAGTCTCCTACCAACTCAAAATACTCAAAGGAAAACTTCTGACAGAAAATCATTCAGCAATTTAGTTCACATAATAATTTTTTCATGGCACAAAAAATTAAAGTATAAACTGTCTTCAGTGTAGTCATATTTTCATTTCTAAAGGCTATTCTAAAACTGGACTGCCTAAAGCTAGTGCTCAGTGGCTCAGACCTGTCCGACTCTGTGGCCCTGCAGACCACAGCCCGCCAGGCTCCTCTGCCATGGGATTCTCCAGGCAAGAACACTGGAGCAGGCTGCCATTTCCGCCTCCAGGGCATCTTCCCGACCCCTCCTGCCTCTCCTGCTCTGCAGGCAGACTCTTTACCGCTGAGCCACCAGGGAAGCCTGAAGCTAAACCTACTAGAAAAAATTATCTTTACAGACTACTTTACAAGTGTGCTTACTATATCATACTTGTGAAATAAAATATTGCCAAGGGTGTGTTAAACCAGTGATTCTTAACTTTGGAAGGCTGTGAACCTCCAGGAGGACAATAAAAGCTGTGAACAGAGAAAATTGCATATTTACAAATAAAAAATATGTATATAATTGCTGTTCAGTCACTAAGTTGTGTCTGACTCTTTGAAGCATACCAAGCTTTCCTGTCCTTCACTATCTCCTGGAATTTGCTGATACTCATGTCCATTGTGTCAATGATGCCATCCAACCATCTCATCCCCTGTCAACCCCCTCTCCTCTTGCCCTCAACCTCTCCCAGCATCAGGGTCTTTTCCAATGAGTCGGCTTTTCGCATCAAGTGGCCAAAGTATTGGAGCTTCAGTGCCAATATCACTGAAGAAGTTCTTGAAGACAATAAGTCAAGTGCCATATCCCAAATATTCTTATAACTACCTTTGTAGAAGATACTTAGAAATATAGCTACTATTCTCAGGTTATATGTGCAGAAAACAACTAAACCTATAGCTCCTTCATTTCTTAAAATGTACATACAAGTCAATGGAAATTTAACGTGTGCTGCATATTTTGAACACTTTTAAATATGTTTTAAACTTAATTCAATTTTAATTTAAACTTATTTTAAATTTTAACTTAAAATTAATTTATTGTAAATTAACTTAAACCTATTTTAATTTAAATAACTTTTGTATAAAGTTTTACTTCTTGCATTAAGACTTTTTAAAAATATGTTTTTAAAGTGATCAAAACAAGCTTTAAAAGAACTCAATTCACTCAGGATCTATTTTTACTTTGTTCCAGGCATTATGTTTTTTGTTCCTTACAATCTGAGGAAACTTAACATCTACTCAACTTTGCTCAAATATTTTTACATTTTTTGGTCAAAAAATGTATTTAAATATGCATTTTTTCATACATAATGAAAATGGTATTACTCTAGCTTATGTCTGAGTGCCAAAATATTTAAAGTTTCATATATTTTAGTAAAACAGTAATTTGACATATTTTCAAGGATAATTTCTGGAATAGAAATTGAAGAAAAGAGAAAATGAAACTTTATAACCGAAAATTATCACTAAGTTACACCTACAGAAGACGAGGAGGATTAAAGATCAATTAAATAACCACTAACACTGGGTGTTCATTGGAAGGACTTATGCTGAAGCTGAAACTCCAGTACTTTGGCCACCTCATGCGAAGAGTTGATTCATTGGAAAAGACCCTGATGCTAAGAGGGATTGGGGGCAGAAGAAGGGGACGACAGAGGATGAGATGGCTGGATGGCATCACCAACTCGATGGGCATGAGTTTCAGTAAACTCCGGGAGTTGGTGATAGACAGGGAGGCCTGGCGTGCTGCGATTCATGGGGTCGCAAAGAGTCGGACACGACTGAGCGACTGAACTGAACTGAACACAGGTATATGAACTCCTACGACCTTTCTTATTGTACAACCTAAAAGTGAAAATTCCAAGAACCTTTCTTAGATCTTGAAAAAAAATAGTATTTATGGGTAAGAAGTAATGGAAAACACTGGGATAATATGTTTTGCTGAAAGTACAGATTTTTTTTTCCTTTGTTCATCTTCACAGTGTTACGCCATTAACTAAAAAGAGAAAATATAAAGAAATAATAAATGTAAAACCATCATCACTCCAGTATTTTGGAGAATATTCTCATCTAGTTGACTGTCATTTGAATAAAGGACAATTTTTATATAGTCAGTATAAAGAATTCAGGAATACCTTTAATAAAATATACTGACCTATTCCCAATGGTTTCAGACAGTAATTATCAATCCTTTCATTAAAAGAAGTAGAATGACTATTTTAACATTAGAGCTATGCAGAAGAGTTTTAAACTCATTTCATCCTACACTGTGAAACCCAACTGGGACCAATGAAACACCTACCTACCTATACACAAATTAATACCAACTGGAAAGCTTAAATAAATATCACAGCACTGTAATTAAATGTTTTCAATATCTAAAATTCCCTTTGACATTTTAAATTCATCCAATACTTTAAAAGCCTAACTTTTAGTTTAAATTAGCCTGATCAAACATGTGAACAAAATGTTTACCTATTAAACAAGGAAAGAGGTGCTGTTAGGTCAAAAAAAATTGGTACTTAATTAAGAAAGCCAAAGTTTTCTGACTGGCATATGGATTCCATTAGCACAGGTGTTTTATAAACACTGCTCAGATGTCTGGAGAATCTCTAAGAAAAACTCTACAGCTGACATGTAGCCTATGCTCATGTAAACAATGCAAACACACCTCAATGGGAGAAAAATCACAATAGCATATTACTTACAAGTAAAACTTTAAGGCTACCAGGGATATTCAATTCTGACACTGCTCTCTAGGGAGAAAGGGAAAACGTTTACAATTTTAACTGAATCTGAAAAGAGCCAAATTAGAAGAAAAGGTAAAAAGGCACAAGCAAGGAGGAAGGACTTGCAAGGTGTATCTCAAAACCCTGCACACAAAACTACCTTAAAAGTATCACCAGAGAGAGATGCAATTCTTAGCTTACATTTAGTTAATAAAATGATAAAATGCTCATTGGGGGAAAGAAAAAAAATGAGTAGGAAATGAGTGGGAAGGGCAGGAGGGAGAAATAGAGGGAGAGAGGGAGAGGTGAGGGGAAGGAGGTGTTAAAAAAATCCTTGGCAACACAAGGTTACTAAGCCTCTGAATACACTTGATGCTTAACACACTAAACCTGTTCCATAAAGTTATCCTTGTTTTCTTTCATTCTTATTCCAAAAAATGGTCCTTGATTTTAGTATCAGTATCAAAGCCAATCATTTAGCACCACTACTGATTAGACTAAGACCTGGAGACAGGACTAGTTCCAAGCTAATCCAGATGGATCTTTTGGCTTCATTTAGCCTGTAATATTTCACTTTGTTCCTGGTTTTGCTTTTTAGCATTCAAGACCAAGTCATCAATGGATGATTATCCTTAAAAGTTCTAGAAACATCTGGGTGGGCAGCTCAACCACTGAACAGATTTAAGATAACCCACTCAGCACTTACTATGAATTCAATATAATTCTCATACCTTAAAATTACTTTTCTAATAAAGGTTCACAGCAACAGGAATGGGTAACACTAATTATCTAAGAAAATTTCCATATTTTTACAGGAATGTCTACGCTAGGAAGCAGAATGCAAAACCTGCATTAATTTTTTAGATAAAAGAGAGGATCTTCTAAGAAAATAGGGCTACTCTGAACTATGCCTCAAGACCCCTGATGTACAAGTGCATTTCTTCAAATTCCTCCACTGCAATCTTGGGTAAACTTGGAAGAAAAGTGTTGAGATGACCCCTAACCCTTCACACTGCTTTCCTGCCACTGTTTATAATACTTTACTACTACTACAGATTTAAAATCAAACACCCAAAAGGCAATACATCTAAACTTTAATTTAGAATGCATTCTTTTAAAAATTTATTTCAAAAGGAGGACCTTGAAGCACACCAATATTTAAGTTCTGATGCTCTTATTGAAGTTTCTGAGTGAAATAGCATTAACATGCTAATAAAAAATAAGGAAATATTATGATCTAGATTTTTTTCCTCAATAACCATTTTCTCCTTTAAATTTACTTTTGTGCTTTTACACACAAAGTTATATTTAACTTTTATTCATTAAATTTAAATTCTGCCTTAAAAATTTTAACTACACACTTGGTCTATGGTGCCAAAACCCAGAACATAAAACTCATAATGTGTTCAGCTATGAATCGCTGAAGAATACAATTTCAGGGCTGGTACACTAACAGCAAATGGTGCTTAAGAGATTTGCTACCTGGAGCTCACTGAAAACAGTTACTCAACTTACCTGGTGCTAATCCAGCAGCAGCAGGAGTCCCCAGGGATGGGTGGGAGAACACTTGAGAGAAGGCAGACGCATGTGACTGGGACGTGTTACTCAGCCTGGAGGTTGATCCTCCTTTGGGAATAAACTCACTTGCAGTAGGATTTGGTGTCTATTTGAAAATCAAATATAGTAAGTTAACACATTTTAAGCCCCCAAAAGACACTGAATTTACCAGGCATTATTCCACAGTGCTCTATTTACCAAGTAAAATACTTTACTGAAAGGATTTACAGTGCTTTTTAGTTTCCATATTTTGGAGTGGGATAATTAAATTTCTTAAAGAAAAAGTTTCTTGAAGAAAAATTTTCCATCAAATTTGAAGGTTTTAATCATTTCACTTGGGGAATTTAACTTTGAAACAAGAAAATCTGCCTTTATTGTCAAATATACATTATTATCCAACCATCCTAATACTATATTTTAGAGAACTGGGAAGTTACAACTACCTCAAAACTGAGCAAAAAGTTTCAAATTTAATATCTTTAAACCACTTCTACCAGGATAAAGGTCAAAACTGCCTTTATTCCAAAATTAATCACTTCCTCCTTTATAAGCACTTAAGACATCTCCCCAATAATATGGTGCCACTATTTAACAGTAAAAATGAGAAAAACACTTAAATGTAAGGCAAACATAAGAGGAATAATAGAGGCCCCAATGTATGCAAGGTATGGCATGTAACTTCTGCTGTATTAAAAATATTTTACAATGAGACTGCATGAGATAACTTTCCTCCTAGTTGTACGAAGGCACATTTTATCTAGTTAAGTGGTGTGGTGCCTATGTCATTAAGAACTACTAGCACACTATGAAACTGTAACTCCAATCCATAAATGGTCTATATTACGTCCATCTGAAACAAATCAATGTCCTAATTATTTTTCAGAAATAGTGATCCACATATTTAAGTATAATGAAGATTCAATGACCACTGACATATTGATATTTGAATTCAACTTCCAAAACGGTTAAACAAAGAGATAATTTAGTATGTTCATACTTCAGCCCATATTTTCAGTATGTGTGTGTATATATATATACACACACATACACACACACACACATACATAAATACACACACACATATATATACACACACACTAAATTTAAAACACACTGAACCACAATGCAAAAAAATACTTAAAAGTATTTCAGAACCGATCATTAGAATGGAAAAACGGATTTCCATAGAAGGCATAAAATAAAAAGATGGACTAATTACTGTACAATCCAAGGACAACTTCCTTATTTGAAATGAATGACATTTAAAATTGACAAGTTAGAGTTCAAAATACCAGATTTGGAAAACAGCAAGTCTACAGGCTAACCTCACTGTAAACTCTAAAGCAAATGATATTTTACTAGTTATGTTCCAGCAAAAATTAAATACAAGGTGACAAAATACAGAAAAAAATGCTAATTTTTGATTAAAATATACTAGATATACAGAGAACTTCTTTTACTGCCATATCTAAAATGTGAAATTCTGAAGAAAAAAAAGGAATCCGAACTGAATCAAAATATATTTTCCAAAGGAAAAAAAAGTCCTCTCCTGTCAGTTATGTCTATTTTAAAATTTTCCAAATGCTCAAGTTTTCAAAAACACTGGCATCTTCTTTAAAAGTGTGGCCAATGAGCCCATGCATTTTATTGATGTAGTAATCCCTAGATATAAAAGGTTATCAACAGGATTACTTCAGAGCTAAACCAGTGTGCACCAATGAGTGCTAAAACTATTTTAGAAGAAGAAAGTCAAAATAAAATCAATCAGGTAACTTGCTAAAAGAGCTCAAAACGCCTAGGAGAGATGGGGACTTCAGGATTATAAGAGTACTAAGAAACAGTAAATTCAGGCAAAGAAATTCAAAGCTAATCTGACACAGAAACTATCTAGTTTCCATTTCATTTATACCTTACATTTACCATGAATAGGAGACTAATTACAGAGCTGAGTTTCTCTAAATCAAATCTATTTTAAATTCATCTCAAAGACTATTTTTAAGAGATCCTATAAAGGAGAAAAAGGAGGGGAGTCTGTTTTACTTTCTCCAAATAAATCATATATAAAATGTCACTGTAACAAATTACAGAGGGCCTTCAAATGTATTACGATAGAGATTATTAAAATTAACTATGAAAATTTATACTAAACTGCAAATTTCAGGGATTCAACAACCAAAGATCCAAAAAACTCACCTGCAGTGAATTTTACTTAAAAAGTAAAAAGAAGGGCCTAAAGACCTCCCTCCTTTTTTTCCCTGATTTAAGATGGCGAGGCATTTCTTTCTCTTGAGTAGGTGGTTTGCGAGTTTGTTTTATTTCAGGTAAGTTTATTTGAGACATGAGAAAAGGTTAAAGGATTTAAATGGCAGAAAAAAGAATTACACAGTAGGTATAACACACACACAAAAACAAAATCTAGGGATAAGATAGCAGAGCTACTATTATTAACAGATAATACAAATTCCTCTAACCAAATTAGAGAACCATCAAAAATACTTAATGAGAAATTACTGTGGAAAGGAGAATACTTTTTCACGGTAAAATTTGTTAAAATAGTAAGTGCAATAAAAAGATGCATTCTTAAAACCACTTTAATATAACTGGTTTATAACAGAAGTAAGTTTTATAAAATAACAAAATAGCATAGGCACACACCTTTAACATATTAAAAAGAATACTTTTTTAGAGATAAGGCAAAACTAGTAACTAAAACTAGTGTCTTGTTAAAATGTAATCTCTGTTAACCAGAAAATAAGCAATTTATTTCAGCTCTAGGAAGTGAAGGTTATATGTAAAAGAAGACTCAAGAACTTGGGTTATATAAATTTGTCTAACTTCAACAACACTAAAGAGAATGGAATAAATGAGAAGAGTAATAGTGGGGAAAAAAAAATCAAGGTTTTATTATTCCTGCCCTATGATTTAGAGAAGCCTATCATAACTCTCCAAACATACTTCTATTATATTAAACTTGTGGGTTTTCTAACACACATATATTTCCATTCATAATTTATAATTTCTATTCATATTTTAAATCCTAATTATCATTCACATCTTAAACAGCTCTAAGTGTACATTTGATGGGGGGGGAATCAATGTTTACATAAGTCAAATACCATTCATGCTGTGAGAATTTATCAATAGTTTTGGGTTCTCACACACTTAAATTTACACTGCAACTTTTACACCCAAAACAACCCAGTGCATTTAGTGAGTTCTTCAAACTGGGATCACCCCCAACATCTGGATATGACCCCTGCCTATACTCTCCAGAGAGAAGTATACGAGAAAGTCCTGACCTTTAGCTTGAAAAGCACTGTTGTAGTTATTAGCATTATATTTTAACTGAAATAATAACTAATGCTTCAATTCACAGATCCCAACCAAAATGATAGAATATGTCCCATTTTACAAATGACAGATAAAGTTTTGTTTTTTAACAAATGAAGCAATTTTTTTCTTCAATTTGGCTGTGCCAGGTCCTAGTTGTGGCATGAGAACTCTGTGTTGCAGCATGTGAACCCTTGGTTGCAGCATGCAAACCCTAGGTTGCGGCATACAAACTCTTGGTTGCAGCATGTAGGATCTAGTTCCTGGACTAGGGATTAACTCAGGCCCCCTGCATTGGGAGTTCAGAATCTTAACCACTGGACCACCAGGGAAGTCCCACAAATGAAGTAATTTTTTGATGACGTTTCTAGTTTATAACTTTATGCTTTCCTACTATCATATTATTTCATGGAAACTGTTCCTTTTAAAGTATAATTCAGTATTTAATAGTCTGTTGGACTCCACTACAAATAAGAGTACTTATTAAGAACACAATAAATTAGTCCCATGAATTAAGAGACTAATTTAATAAACAGTACAACAATAAAAATTTCAGCCATTAATTTTTTTATTAGAATGACGGGAAGAGGTTTATGCTTAATAAAAACACAACACAAAATATTATGTAATATTTCATTGCAAACCTTCCAAAAGATCTGTTGAAAAGTTATCTTAAGGTGATGTAATGAATGACTGAGAAATCACCACTATTTCTGAATGCTGGTCAGGCTTTTTAAAAACATACAATAAACTCATAAAACCATAAACAGCCTTCCACAGTGCTACTGCTTGTAATGAGCTCCATTTGCTTTACCACTTAGTGGCTTCATAAGCTGCTCTCAGTAATCTTTCTACTCTCTGAATGAAATATAAATGAACTGGTAAAAGTTTCTTAACAGCTTTATTTAGATATAATCAACATAGAATAAATCACACTTATTTCAGGGTAAACTCTGTTAACTCTTGACGTAGGTGGACCAACCATGAAACCATTACCCAAATCAAGGAGGACTACATCCATCATGCCCCAAAGTTCCCATAAGTCTGTATGAAACCGATCCCTCCTGTTCCTCTCTGCTCCGCTGCTCTGGACTCCAGGCAACCTCTGATAAGCTTTTTGTCATGATAGACTAGTCTGTATGTTCTATAATTTAATATGAATGAATCTTACATATGTACATATGTACTCGGTTTTTTACTAGCTTCTTTCACTTCGCATCATTAAGATTCATCCTTTTAATGCTTTCTTTGCATTTAATTTGTTCCTCTCTTTCTAGTTTCTTAAGTGGAGATCACTCTTTTGAGAACCTTTCCAACACAGGCATTTAGTGCTATAAATTTCCCTCCCATTACCGCTTCAGTGACACTTCACACCAGTTGGCATGTTTTTATTTTCATTCAGTTCAAAACACTTTAAAACTTCCCTTCCTGATTCTTCTTTGACACATGTCAAAGAATTGTGTTATTCAGTCTCTGGATACTTGGTCTCCAAAGATCTGTTGGTGGTGGTGGTGGTTTAGTCATTAAGTCATGTCCGACTCTTGGGACCCCATGGACTGTAGCCCGCCAGGCTCCTCTCTCCATGAGATTCTCCAAGCAAGAATACTGGAGTGGGCTGCCATTTCCTTCTCCAGGGGATCTTCCCAACCCAGGAAATGAACCCAGGTCTCCTGCATTGCAGGTAGATTATTTCCCAACTGAGCTATAAGGGAAGCCCCCAAAGATCTGTAACTGGCTTCTAATTTTATTCCATTGTGGTCAGAGAACACATTAGCG